TCACCTGCCTGCCTGCCTGGTCACCCCTAACTTCCCCTCCCCACTGGCCTGGTTGCCCCTTACTGCCACCCATCCCTGCTGGCCTGGTTGCCCCCAACTGCCCCCCACTGGCCTGGTTGCCCCTTACTGCCACCCATCCCTGCCAGCCTGGTCACCCCCAACTGCCCCCCCGCTGGCCTTGTTGCCCCATGCAGTCTGCTGTTCAGTCATTTGGTCGTCCCTCACTAACCCCCCTGCCAGCCTGGTCGCCCCATGCAGCCTGCTGTTCTGTCGTCCGTCTGGGTGTTTCGGTCATGAAGGCCCCTGGCTTTTTATATATTAGGATAAGATAATAATCTACCATTTGGCCTTCCTTGATGTGACAATGGTTTTTGCCTGTAAAAATAAAAACAGCTTGAAAAAATTCAAAGTCCAGCATCATCTAATGTAAATGTGAATACTGAGAGACTCCAATGTTACAAAAAGGGGTTATCTTTAAAACAACAATTACTAATATTGATTGAATGCTTATTCTCATGCCAGGCATTCTACAACTGTTATCTCTGGTTAAATGCTTACAATAACCCTGCAAGAGAGCATCATGGTCCTTATTTATAAACTAGAGGCCCGGTGCATGAAAATTTGGGCACTCAGGGGGTCCCTCAGCCTGGCCTGCACCCTCTTGCAGTCTGGGACCCCTCAGGGGATGTCCACCTGCCAGTTTAGGCCTGCTCCCTGGGGGATTGGGCCTAAGCTGGCAGTCAGACATCCCTCTGGCAGCCTGGGAGCCCTCGGGGGATGTCCAACTGACGGGGAGTGGGCCTAAGCTACAGTCAAACATCCTTAGTGCTGCTGAGGACACGGGAGATTTTGAAAGACCGATGGCTCCAAATTCACCCAGCTTGTGGCTGAGTGGAGCTCCCGCTGTGGGAGCACACTGACGACCAGGGGGCAGCTCCTGCGTTGAGTGTCTTCCCCCTGGTGGTCAGTGCACATCATAGCGACCGGTCATTCCCGGTCATTCCGCCGTTAGGGTCATTTTGCATATTACCCTTTTATTATATAGGATGATGCTGTAGTATAGAGGAGTCCAGAAACTTGCAAAGGACTCAGTTGTAGGCAATAGGAGTTGTGAGACTCACTCCCAGTCATCAGACTCTGAAGGCCATGTTTTCACTGCTGCATTCCTTTATCCAAGTGCTTTCAGTTGCTAAAGTCACTTTCAAGGACCCTGACAAAGCCCAATGCATTGTTTACATAGAAAGTCTATGGAATGATAACCTATCAAAAACTTATTAAACACCTTTTTTTGTTTTTTTTTACTAGTATTTTAGACTCTAGAGATACAAAGACTTTTTTCTCCTTATAATTTAACCTTTAATATCAAAATATCTGTCGAAATCACAGAATAGGGTCTCTAAATAAGCTCTCTTGAGGTCCTTTTCACACTTTAGTTAGAGTGACATTTTAACAGATGTGATATCTGTATAATCATTCTTTTCTTAGCAGTGAATTACTTCTAAATAACTTCTAGACAGCTGTTGCTGCAACACTTTTAAAGGACATTTTTGTGGTTACCCTCTCTTTAAGTAGTTAGAGCTTTTGAATGAGTAAAGATAAATCATTCTAAGTGATTTTTCCCAAAAAGGAAGGGAAAAAACCCCAATAATCCATAACACTTACCTATTGATGACTAAGCTGCTTCTTCCAATTCCACTGACTAAAAAAATGAGTTCCACTTGAAATCTTCACATGACAGGAAGAGGTTGCAACTAAAGCTTAGTGAATGTCAGGGTTACTGCTTTCAGAAGAGTTATTGGAGCCTGAGTTCTGTGAGCCTTGAGATGGGGGATCTTTGCAAGCTTTCTGAATAGTGAGAATTATATAATGAAATCCTTCTCATCTTCATGGATGGATCTAGTATTTTTTTCCTTCTGTAACATACTAGCTAAACTATTTATCCTGGGCACTTAAAGAATGAATGGCTTCCAAAATCATTTCAAAGAAAAATCTTTTCCAAAAATTAAGCCAGTTTTTCCTCCAGCCATGACTTCCCCACTCTGGCCAAAGATTCTTTCCCTTTCTACTACCTCTCCTGTGGGCTGGCCCCTCCACAGCTAATGATGCCCAGATGTCCAGGATCTACAGGATGCCCACCTTTAGCTGCCTTTCTGTCAATGCACCATCCCCTCTATCTCCTGCTACAAAATAAAAATAAAAACTACACTTTTCTATTTTGGACCAATAGTGAAGAGTCCCCTGGTCAGGATGGGGGTAAATTAACATCTGAAAGCTTCCAGGATAGGTCATATTTTCATCAATACCACCAACAGCAGCACATCTTTATTGTTCCAGGAGTACCCATGTCTGTGGGTAAACCTGTGAGAGTGCTGCTTGGTTCCTTGTCAGTTAGGGAGTTATGGCTTTGATGGCTTTCCTCATTATGCAGAACATAAGAGCTGGAGGCTGGTGGCTTCTTATTAAGCCCCAGCTGCACCTTTGTTCTGATAAAATGCACACTGATTCTGACCTCATCTGCCTGGGCTGGAGGACTTAAGGTATAGGCAATGGAATTTATAAGTTAAAGAAACTTTTCAAATAAGTAGAGTACCAACCAATTGTAATGTCTCAACTTTACTTTCAAGCTTTTTCACAAAATATATTAAATACTAGAGGCCTGGTGCACAGATTTGTGCACCTGGGGGCGGGGGGGGGCGTTCCTCAGCCTGGCCTGTGCCCTCTCGCAATCTGGGACCCCTCGGGGGTGTCGGACTGCCAGTTTCAGCCCGGTCCCCACAGGCCAGGCCGAAGGACCCCATTAATGCACAAATTCGTGTACCGGGCCTCTAGTATGCATATAAGATTTTTGGTTAGTCTCTTCCTGCCCTTCCCTCTCCCCCTTTCCCTCTGAGATTTATCAGTCTGTTCCATGTTTCCATGCCTGTGCATTGAGTGTCTGCCCCCTGGTGGTCAGTGCTCATCATAGCTACTGGTTGAATAGTTGAATGGTTGAACAGTCAAACAGTCACTTAGGCTTTTATAGGTTCTTTTTAAAAAACCTTTATTGTTAAAATTATTACATATATTCCCATCCCCCCCATTAACTTCTTTTAGCCCCTGATCCCACCCCTCACCCCTCCCTGCCTTCACCACCCTATTGTCTGTGTCCATGGGTTATGCATATATGCATACAAGTTCTTTGGTTGATCTCTTCCTACCCACCCACCCTCCCCTGCCTTCCCTCTGAGATTCGACAGTTTGTAAATATTCTTGATGTTAAGTTACTCTCCATAGTCCATCTACAAAGATTGTCCCTCTGTGATTTCAAAGGCTCTACCTTTCCAAAGTCTAACATTTCAGTCTGAAACTTCACTTTGAAGATTAGAATGAGGTCTATGGGGAGGCAATTATTGGTGAGTGATCAGAAGGAGGTCTGGAAATGTTAAATATTCTTGTTTCCATCATTAGCTCATCATTACGAACTATGAGTGTGGTCTGGTGTGAGGCACGAGGCAGTATAGTACAGTGGTTGGAGCCCAGACCCTGGTACCAGACAGCAGGAGTTGAACTCTTGCTTACCACACACTGTCTGTGTAATAGCTGGCCAGCTGCTTGACTTTCTCCCCTATACTAGTAAAATGGGGCTAATAATAGTAAGCCCATAGGCTTGTTATGAAGACCATCTGATTTAATCTTTTGTAAAAGACAGTTTGAGCACATATATTTAGTACTATATAAATCCTGTAAAATGAAAGAAAGTTAGCCTTCTCTCTTTATTTTTTTTTATATTTAGAATATGGGGTCGATTGCAGTCACCAGAAAATCTTGTATTGTCCAGAGATTTAATATGAAAACCATTATGTAAAGATGAAATATTTCAACCCATCAGCTCAGAACAATGAATTAAATGTGCAGAATCTATCATCTTCAAAGATAAAAAAAGCTTTCTGGCACTATTTTGTGCCAAAGCACCACAACATGCCAAGACAAAACGCATTGGAGCCACTTTAAAGAATATCTACTAATTTTAAGTATCTAATAGATTTTGTTACTTCATTTTCTCAAGGAGAATACTGGAGATGTTCCTCAAAATGTTTCATCCATGAAAGCTCAGATTTTAGCCAAAGTCTCAGAAAAATGACTTTTTAACTATGCATGAATAACTTCTGTGTGCCTGTGTTGCAAGGGGCATTAATTATTTATAAAAGCATTCCTTTTTACATGGAAGTTGGTCCACTATTCTGAAAATTGAATGGACTTACTCTGATTCTTAGCTGAAACTTAATGAGGGCTATTTTTCTTGAGATCAACTTCTAACTGCTACACTGCAGTTCTAGAAGGTTGACTTATTTAATAAATATATAGTTGAACAGTGTTAAATTACAAAATACTAATATGACTTTATTCAGCAAAAAGACCAATGGAATAAAGAAAAAAGGCATTTTTAACAATCTAGAAATTAGCTGGAAAGTCTGGCTCCATCCATGTATTTGACAAGGTCTTCGGTATCTCTGAAAAACCATCCTTCCATATATGAACTGCTGGGCATCTTTAAACTGGCTCACATTATTGCCATTCTTTTCAAATTCCTCAAATTAGCATCTCTATAAATGACTCTTCAGACTAGGAGATCTTAATGTTAAATCTGCCTGACTGCATAAACAGCAGAAATGACACAATAAGAGATGATGTTCACAACTTTCTTGGATCTTTCCAAAGAGTAGCAAAAGGCAGTTTCCCTACTCACAGTTCATTTGCTGCATTTATTAATAGAAAAAAAACATATTTTATACATAAGATGCATGGTATTACCAGGCCTTCTTCTACAGTTTAAATACATTTCAATTTCTTAATACACTTAAAATGTTAAAATTGTACTTGGCATGTTGCTGTTCTATGTTCACACATTTCTACATTTAAAGGTTCTGTGATTTTCTGTTTTTAATTTCAGAAATAGTCATTTAAAGTCTAAACTGGGGAGGAGAGAGCCTTTGAAATAAAATTCGGAAAGTTTATGGCTCTGAAGGGCAGGATAAGTTAAAAAGGAACTAGGCATAAAGATGTAAGTGCCTTGTCTTGGCTGTGGGTGGAGGTCCAAGAATACTTAGTCAAGAGATTTCTGATGACCTGTTTTGACCAAGAGATTACCAAATAACCCCTCTCTACTTCAAATCTTGCCAGAGGGACCCACTCTAAATTTTGCCAAGGGATCTACATCCCACACCATTTGTTAAACTCTGGTGGCATATAGATCATATTCCACTATCATCACCTAAATTTAAAATACAAAAGATCTAGAAAAAAAGTGGGAGATAATTTCCTTAAACCTAACAAGATGATATGTTTAGGGAGAAAACAAAACACATTTTATAGCTCAAAACCACCTTTTTGTATAATAATTTGTATAAGGCACAGATGTGTTAGGACCATAGGACAATAGTTAGCTGACTTGCTAGTTATATGACCTTGGGAAATTATTTTATTTTTTTTTTCATTTTTATTTTATTTTTTATTTATTTATTTATTTTTATTTTTTTATTGCTAAAAGTATTACATTGGGAAATTATTTATGCACACTGTATCTAAGTCTTTAGCTATAAAGTGGGGATAATGATTACATATACTTCCCCAGGTTGCTGTGAGGATTAAATGATATACAGGAAGTTCTCCTGGATAGGTTCTCGGAAACTGCGACTTTAAGTGAAACAGCATGTGAGGAAACAAGTTTTACCATAGGCTAATTCAGTGATTTTCAACTTTTTTCATCTAATGGCACACATAACCTAATTACTGAAATTCTGCGGCACACCAAAAAATATATTATACTTTTTGCCGATCTGATAAAGAAAAAAAAAAGGTATAATTTTGATTCATTCATACCAAGTGGCTATTGTTGTGTTGGCTGTTGTCAGTTTTTCACTTGACCTTCTAAGGGAAAAGAGGTCAGTGGCCCTGAATACTAGTAAATAGTCAGGTCTTGCATGTTTTAAAAACTCCTGCAGCACACAGGTTGAAAATCACGGGGCTAATCAATAGAAACAAGAGTTAAGTTTCTATGGCATGTTCTGAAAACAAAAATATCACCAAACTTCTAAGTAAAGACCCAAATTACTTCTAATATTAAACATTAAAATAAATATGAGCTAAACATACATTTTAAAAAGATGAATAAGATCTCTCAAGAAAATGGCAGCACAGGTAACCGTCCCTATGTGCCACCTCCCACAACCACATCAAAATTACAACTGAAATACAGAACAACCATCATTCAAAACCACCTGAAAGCTGGCTGAATAAAAGTCCTACAACTAGAGAAATAAAGAAGAAAGCACAACGAGACTGGTAGGAAGAGCAGAGGTATGGAATGGGCTCATTTGACAACCACGTGTGCTGTTTTTTTTAATTGGGAGGGAGATCTTCTCTGTGGAGGCCTCCTGTGAGGAGCAAGGGGTCCCAGTCCCACACCAGCCTCAGCCCAGGGCTCCAAAGCTGGGAAGAGAAGTCCCCCTAACTATGTGCTGTAAAAACCAGCAGAGACTGTGGCTGAGTGACAGGGAGGCTGCTGGAGGCCCAGGTGCTCCTTTTAAAGGGCTAGTGCATGAACTTACTCAAACTCGATCCTTCTGGGCTTCAGTGCAGGTAGCTTTGGGGGACCCAGACACATACAGGGAGAAACTGGATTGTCTGGTATCAGGGTGGGAACTCAGGGGCGGCTTCCTCCCAGATGGGGGTGCCTGCAGGGATCATTGTTTCTGTGCTGGGACCTTCCCTGTTGCAGGACTGACTGGCAGTGGCCATATCTGAGTCTCCATCAGCCTGGCTCACACTGCTATGCCCTGGTGATTCCCTGAGATCCTGGTCCATCCAATTTGCAGCCCCACCCAAGCTGTTTGCAGCAACTTTTCCATATGAATGGCCTGTCCTGGCTCAGCTTTCAGACTGCTAAAATCTCTCAAACAAGTTGCAGCTGGTGTCAGCATGCCCCAAACCTCTCAATAAAAGGCCCAAGATCCGGCACTAGCAACAGCCTGCCTTGCTTCACAGCTGGGCCTCGCCTGGGCACCTCCAAGCCCAATACAAATAGCAAATAGCAGCTGTGTGCTGATCCCTCTGTAGCTCCTGCTGGGTGGCCCCAGGAAGTGGCTGACTTTGCATCTTTCTGGAGGCCCTAGAGCCAGTGCACCCGGTGGACAGCTTCAGACCATAGCAATTTACAATTACTAAAGTCCCACTGAAGCAAGTCCTGCTCCATAG